GGATAAAGAAGATGTTGAATATCAGGTCTCAATGTTTGATTAAAACAGAAATTCTGTAATTTACTTTAGAATTTCAATGGCAACTCTCTTACATAGAGTTACACATATAGAGTGATACAATACAAACATAGGTCATTTGGGCCAACAAGTCCGTGCCAGTGTTTATATGAGGCTCCATCCCTTTTATTCTCCTCTCATATACCATTCATCCATGCATCAAGTTTTCTTTTAAACAAATTGATGCTTTTTGCTTCCAGCAATGAATTCCACATTCTCGCCACCCTTTGAATGAAGCCGTTATTTCGAAACCGACTATTAGATCCACTGCTAGCTATCTTACGTGTGTCAGTTGGTAGACTCTCCCCTCTGAGTCAGAAGGTTGTGAGTTCAAGCTGCATGTTGAGATTTGAATTCAATAGACTCTCAGCTGACACTTCTGTGCAGGGATGGGGATGTGTTGTATTTTTGCCAGTGCCATTTTTTGGGTAAGATGTTAAACTGAGGTCCTGTCTGCCTGTCCAGGTGGATGTTCAGGATCCCTTGGCACTATTTGAAAAGAGAAGGGAGTTCTCCCAGTGTCCTAGCCAACAAATCCCCAAATAAAAGTATCATTTGCTTCATGACTGTTTGTGGAACATTGACGTGTGCAATTGAGCTGCCATAATTTGCCTACAAACTCTCCACTTACAAATCCTGTGAAGAACTTTGAGATGAAAGGTGTTACTTCAATTGCAAGGATTATTTAGGATTATTATTTATTAATGTACTGTCATTTTGGACTCACATTTTGGAAACAGACCATTAATGGAGTGAAGAATGCTGGGAGATGTAGTTAAAACACATTGTGTTGCAATTAAACCATTTATATGCACAACAGTGCTTTACCCTGGGAATAAGCAGCAGGTCCATCTAATAATTTCCAATTGCTATGGTAACAGTCAGCTGCTATCAAGCCAAGGCTCACAGAACCAGTTTGCAGAGCGGTATTATTGTTGGGGGATCCAAATAAAGAGCTTTTAGTTAAAATCTTGCAAGTCAAAATGGCTCCACAATAGGGAAGCTTTTGAGCAGTAATACCTGTGACGAGATTTGTCACCTTCTGGATGGTAGCACAAGATCATACAGACTTGATTATTAACAAGCATCTTTAGAAGAGGGTCGATAAACGGGAATATTTGTTACAGCAACCAAATCACACTATAAAGCATCCACTTGGAGCTCAGAAATAGCGTAACTGAATAAACTTAGGAAATTAGCAGGGACTAGAGTCTTGAAATGTGTAAGCAATTTCTTAAAGGGGTGCTTGAAATGTGTTTGGTGATCCCCTGGTTATTTGTAAAGGATGAAGAGTGTGTGTGTGATTTTTGGGGCATTATCTGTAATTCATATCATTGGTTTGAACGACACGAACAATACAAATGATATAGCACCTTTTATGTTTGGAGGAGGCCTCAGAACACTTGATAATGTTGTCTGGGCACCTGAGCTAGGAGTGGGTACTGAGGGGGTGCGGGAAAATGATTTACCACTTTAGCTCAGAGAGTAGGGAAAATGGTGGGATATGTTAACCAACACCTATGCTGCTTTTTAATACACACATTGAAATGCGACCTAATGATAATTAAGACATAAACTTGACCTTAGGTTTGCTGCAAGAGGAACAACAACAACAACGTGGATTTATATAGCGCCCTCCAAGCCGGACGGCGTCTCAGAGCGCTTTACAGTAACGGATCCCGGGGCTGAGCCAGGGGGAGGGAGAAGAAGATAACCAAAGGTGCGGTCGAAAAGAAAGGTCTTCAGCAGAAGACCTGAAAATGGGGATGTCCCTCTCCTTGGACGCCCTTTCTCAACCAGCTGGATTGCCAGTTAGAGAGATACTGGCTTTACTCTGATTTTTTCAACCCTGTAAGGATTATGATTTTACTTCATCACATATTTTATATAGGGCCTCACTCCACAAATCTGGCACAACCACCATGCTCTGATTTATGTCAAAGTTCTGACAAATCATTCTCAGTAAATTGTGGCTATAAACCATTGATAAACTAACTGTGTAACATTAGCAAGCCTTCCTTCGCATGAAACGTTAAACCGAGGTCCCGTCTGCCTGTTCAGGTGGATGTCAAACATCCCATGGCACTTTGCAAAAAGTGAAGGGAGTTTCTCCTGGTCCTGGTCAACAATCCCCCAAATAAAATTGGTCATTCATTCCATGGTTGCTTGTGGGACATTTCTGTGTGCAACTGGCTACCATGTTTTACCCATAAAATACACAGTCAATCCACTTTACAGTATATCCTGTGGAGCACTTTGAGACGTCTCAACAACATGATAAGGTGCTATATGAAATGCAAGGATTATTATTATAATAATCTTGTAGTTTCACTGAAAGTGTCAGAATTATTTAGAATTAGGCAATTATTGACAGCTTTGGTGCCACACATCAGTAAATGAATGTGTTATCAAAGTCCACTAAAGTCGCTCCTATAGTTACTGGCCTCTTTCACAGTATAGAGTTGACAGGAGAAAAAAAAAAGAAGCTCTATTACTCAATATTATAAAAGTAATAATGTTCATATTTGATACAGCATTTTATCATGTCATCAAGACGTCTCAAAGCAATTCAGAGGATTTTACTGCAAACTGCAATGACTGTATTTGTAGACAACTGCAGTAGCCAATTTATAATAAATAATAATAACATTCCTTGCCTTATCACGTCTTCGAGACGTCTCAAAGCACTTCAAAGAACATACCGTAAAGTGAATTGACTGAATTTGTGCACAGCAATGCCCCAAAACAGCCATAAAGTGAATATCCAATTTTATTTGGGAGGATTGTTGACCAGGATGCCAGAGAGAATCCATTCTCTTCTCGAATAGTGCTGAGGGATCTTAAATATCCACCCTGAACAGTTGATGGGACCTAAAGGGCAGCAACTCAAACACTGCAACACACACCCCAGCTATGCTTTGAGTGTCAACCTCGATTACAACCTTCTAACTCAGAGGAAAGATACCTCATTCCTCACGGGGAACTTCGCCATTGAGGGAACATCACCATTTAGCGAACAGCTGATTCTCAATTCTTGGATCAAGCACGTTTTGAGGTTGAATTCCATTCCTGTTCAAAATGTGGACGTGTTTCATTCTGAAGTACTCACAAGACTTCTGCTCCTATGGTTTTGAGTGACCGGAGAGTATCTCGTAACTGGTTCAGACCTTGAGTTTAAATGTTTTGGGTGAAATGATGCAACAGTCAGTTACAGATGGAAGTGCTGCAGGACATGAACAATCACAGAGCATTGAGATGACAGAAAATGTACTTAAGACAAAACAGGCCTCTCTCTCCCCTTGTCCTCCAGAGAACATGCCAATGATGCTCAGCCTCTGACATCAGCCAATAAAAACCATTCCAATGCCACTCATATCGATATAAATGACGTGTGAATATTTAAACTAACAAAATCAAGTGTAGATAGCACCTTAAATTAACATGGAGGCGATGAGACAACAACAACTTGCATTTATTGCAGCACCCCTCACGGAGGGCACGTCCCTTTTAAAAGTTTGGCTTAGAGTAGGGAAAAAAATATTAAATTGGCATAAATAGCCCAGAAAAGTTAAAAAAATGCAACACTAACATAATTTGAAGTTCCCGATCACTGTAAAGTCCTTTCACACCCTTTAATAGTTCACCATGTAACGCCATAGAATGTGAAGAACAGGTGGTAGACAAGCAAGCAGGCTGTCTCCTGTCAGATGCTTGAAATATGGGGCATGATTCACAGTCAAGGATTTCTTCCTACTAGTCTCCTGCTTTTAACTTCAAGTGCCAAGAATCAGATTGAGAAAGCATAACTTTTAGGGTTGGGGTTGTTTATTGAAGTCTTGAAGAACTTAAGGAATTGATATATTATTGCTATTATTAATGAACAGCTTGGGTGTTTAACAATTTGTCCAAAAATATATACCCTTTCTCACTATGAGAAGGCAACTCTTTTTGTTTCAAAAAGTTGAAGTTTTTTGAAAAAAACTCCATAGATGTAAAACGCAGTTTGTTTCCTGCTAAATAGTTTTGAGCGCACAGAATGAGAGCCGCAGAGTATCTGCTGCACTGCGATTCCCTCTGTTGACTTGAATGTAACGGTTTAAAATGAACGAAAATACATTTTGATTTTTCTTAGTAGGTAAAGGTGGTGCTTTTAAAGAAAAAAAATCATTTGTTAAACATTCATTTGCCGATGAAGGAAAAGAATGGTCAGGGAGAAGCTTGGTGTCATCTTGTTCAAAGTGATGTCTAACCCTGATACCATCTAAACCATTGTGTCTTTAAAAACAAAACTGGGTTTGCCAGCCACTTTAACGTGAAGAGAGATGATGCCCTTTTAAATGCATCTTTAAGACAATAAAAGGCTCTGCATTGTGGCTTCTTCACAATAAGAACAGGGGAGGCTGTGAAATAGTCACCATTGTAACTGTGTGGAGGGAAAAATTACAACTAAACCATAGCTTTCGTGGCATTTTACAAAGGGATGTTTAACCCACTGGGTAATGAACATGCATCAAGTTAGAACCACTCATCGAGTGCTATTTAAGGTACCATTTAGAATACAAAAACTAAAGGGGGCCTTGTTCTGATTTACTCAATGGTTTCTTATGGGTGAGTTTCTGACAGGCAGACAGTTATTCCTGACTAACTTAACATCAACAGTTCACGAATGGATCAAACACAAATTTGCAAAATGACAGTCATTTGTAGAAAAGCACTCTTCACAAAAAAAAGGCTCAGCTTCTATTAACTGCTGTTGCATCTTGTCACATTGTCGCTGGCACTATCAGGAGGCATAAAACAACAGGATACCAAGGGGGATTTCAGAGCAATGTAATTCTGTCAGTCTGTCATTAAATGGGTGTCAAATTGAGTGAGCGAGCAAGCCAACCACATTTTCCACTGGGACCTGATTCAATGCTTAGCCTGTAGCATCATACACTTACCTCAGGAATAAGGTGCTTAGGACCAGGAGTCATTAGACGTCGATCAAGCATACCAGACCAGGTCCAAGTGTATTGCAGGAACAGCCACTGGACGTACGTATCAGACCACAACCAGCAGGGAACAAAACTATGTGCTGCAGGCTTGTTACACCTCCAATTTAAGGCCCTTATTTGCTGTGCAGGATCAGGCCTGCTGCTGGATCTTTCTCAGCGAAGCGCAGTGCTGATCTGCCCCAGTTGTTGATTTCATCCAGCTCCTGCTTTAGGATGGAGCGCAGGAACCAGAGTCCTGTCAACATAAATTAACAGGCAGAGAGATGGGGAGGAACATACTCCAGTCACAGTGACGTGGGTCCACCTCGCAGTCTCAGTAGCCTGCCGTCAGAGGAGAGGAACATTTCATTAGTCCCTGTTCCAAGCCTCGGAGCAGGCAGATGCTGAACAGGGGGAAATGACAGCCCCAGCTTTTGACCTCTCCTTAATAAACATCTACTGAGAACACAATTAGTCCAGCCAACCAGAACTGTACTAGCCCATCGTGATTGATGTTTAGCAGTACACTGTAGCTGTGTGGCTGCCAGCAAGCTTTTTTACGTGAGAAAAAAAAGCTGCTTTTAGGTTTGTGTTTTTTTAGACAGCGATATCAATGGCAAGCTATGCGGTTTTAGCTGGTTAGACGCCCCTACGCAGTTCCCCAACGCACACTCTGGGGTCGCCAACCCTTGGCTCTTGCCAACCTGCGCCTAATACTTTCCGGATTAGGTCAGCAGGATGCATCCCTCCAAGGAGAGAGTGCGCATTCCATTCCAACAATCTATCGCTGGTATTTCCGTGTGTTCTTGCGATGCATGGAATTCTCAGTTTGGTTTGGATACTGTTAAGCATGGTGATGGGTTTCCGCACGTGTCACATATCCGGCTAAACAAAAAAAAAGTTTTTTTTTTTTTAGTTTGCTGCCAGTTGCCTCAAGGCGATACGTGGAAATCACCCCGCATTTGTTCCGAGAGTTGGGAATGTTGGAAGCGTTTTTCAAAGTGCAGGTTCATGTGACTGCCATGTAGCCGGGTCACATTCTACACACATCAGGACGCCAGGTTAATAAATCATCCCCGGGGTGATTGAGCCCCGGTTTCTACAGTAGACCTTGAAAGGAGGATCAGATGCTGAATCCAATCAAAGCACTCCCATTCACCTCTGTTTCAGCCTGGCTCAGAGGCAACACTCTCACCTCTGAGTCAGAAAGTTGTGCATTCAAGCCCCATGTGGGACTTGGACGCACATAGGCTAAGCTGACACTCCAATGAAGTGCTGGGGGAGGGGGTTCTATTGTTGTAGGTACAGTCCTTCAGATGAGATGTTAAACCAATGTCCTGTCTGCCTGTTCAGGTGGACAGCAAAGATCCCACGGGACTATTCAAAAACAGAAGTGAGTTTCGCCTGGTGTCCTGGCTAATAAATGCCCCAAATAAAATTGGTTACCTACTCCATGGCTGTTTGTGGGACACTGCTGTGAACTAATTGGCTGCCATGTTTCGCCCCTAAAATACACAATCCATTTTACAGTATGTCCTGAGAAGCACTTTGTAGTGTCTCAACGACGTGATAAGGCACTATAACAAATGCAAGGATATTTATTATTATAGTGCCACTGAGATAGGCAATTCATTAAACAAGAAGGACTAATATGCACAGATTTCCAACAGGAAATTTCCTTAATAAGGAATTTGCCTACATGTTATGTTGTTTGCCTTCAAATACATAGTCACTGCACTTTTCACAGTAAAATCTTATGAAGCCATCTGAAGCATCTCATGAATGTCACAAGGGTACTATATCATATGACAGGATTATTATTACAAATCCTTCTAGAAACTGGAAGTTTGTCTTGTGTGGGAATTTTGTTCCAAAAGTAGATTGTGTCAGAGTGGCATTCTTGAGAGTTAGAATCATGTGCCTCCAGATTCCTATTCAGGGATCCCATTAGAGATAATCTCAAATCAGTGCTCAATACTTCAGTCATAACAGATGAGTAATTGTTCATAAAACTGTGAAGTTTTGTTTCTTTCTATGTCTGGCAGGCACTGGCCTACTTCATGTCCTCCATCAATGGTCAGATCTTCAGTCTATCTGCCCTCATTCTCTGGAACTCAATCCTGGAGTCACTCCGCCTCGCTCCTTCCCTCACCTCCTTCAAAATCCATCTCAAGATCTTCCTCTTTGATCGTGCCTATGATCATCTTCCCGCTCCCAACCCTCTTGCCTCCACTCTTCCCAAATCCAACCTCCAGCTCAGGTGCAAACCCTCGACTGTCCAGCGTCTTAGGGCATCCTCACACTATACAAATGCAATTTGTTTGTTGTTGCTTCGGTTGCAACACCACATGAGGCTGAAGTTTGTGGAATTTCAAAACTATTGCCAGCCTTAAATCAATGTCCATTAGGTGGCGGTATAACACTCCTAGAGGTTTTTTGTTTAGAAAAGTGTTTTGTCCATTTTGCGATCTAGTGTTTGCCATATTTTATTTTATTTGATGCAATAATAAGAATAATCCTTGCATTTGGTATGGCGCCTCTCACATCAGGAGGAAGTCTCAAAGCGCTTCACAGGATACAATACAAAATTACATTTGTAAAGCGCCTTTCACTTCGGGAGGACATCCCAAGATACTGAACAGTCAGAGACTAGGACCCGAGCTAGGGGGGGTGGGGTGGCTGTTGGGATCAGGGAGGGTAGAGGTGTGGAGGGGGGTGTAGGAGGGTTGGTCGAAGGCACGGTCGAAGAGGAGGGTCTTGAGGCATGCCTTGAAGGAGGTGAAGGGAATGTGGGATGGAGTTTGAGGTTGGGGGCACTATACACTGTAAACTATGACATTTTTTCATTAACCAGGTGTCTGACACATATGAAAAACCATCACAACACTTAAGAGTATCCAAACCAAACTCGTCGAGATATCTTGAAGCACTTCCACAGTAAAGTATTGTGAAGTGGATTGACTGAGTTTTGTGGGTAAACAGGGCAGCCAACAGCTTCTAATTTTTTGTGTTTAATATTTATGTGTTATGCTTAATCTGCTGAGGAGTGGGTGAAATTCACATTCTCCCAAACCAAATCTTAGCACTTTATTCAATCAGCAGCCTAGGCCCAAGGCCACAGGCTAGATTCCTGCCTATTCATCCAATTATATATAGGATTCCATCGAGTCCCATCTCTCGAAACCAAATTAATTTCCACAAAAAACTTTGCACATCCATTACCCCTGACCTCCTCAACTGCTTTGGCTTCCAGTACTTCAGGGATCAAGTTAACAATCCTTAAATCCTATTTTTCAAATCCTTCCATATTCTTATCCCAATTTACTTAGGCAATCTCTCCAACCATATATTCCACCCTCTATCCTCCATGCTTCTCAATCTGGGACATTGCTTGTTCACCATTACCTTTGCTCCCAAGTCTTCAGCCATCATTCTCCTGTCCTCTGAACAAAAACCTCTTTCTTCAATCATGCCTTTGGTCAACGTCATTCAATCTCTATTTCCTTGCTCAATGTCCACCACTATATTTGTTATTTCCTTCGAGACATTCCTTTTAATTAAGGGTCACTGTATGCATACAAGTTGTTTTTGTATTAACCACAAATGTTTGCTATTGCAAGTGTTCTTTTCAAAATCATTTATGAATAATGTGAACTGCAGGGGCCCTATAATAAATCCTGTGGAACATCACCGGCACTATTCCAGTAGAGTACTTCTATTTATCATCACCTTCTACTTTCTTAAGACAGTTTCTAATCAAAGTTGCTATTTTGCCATGATGTCATGATCTTTAACCTCATTTGCATGATGAGTGATCTCAAAATGCCTTTTGACAATCCAAGAGAATTGTTTGTACTGGAAAATTGGCATCTATTGTTTAGTCCTGTACCACAGGAGTGATTTTTGCAACAGAGCAGAAATTCTGATTGATTCTAAAAGAGCAAGACGTTGAGTATATTGCAGCAAAAGGGAAAATGTTACGTTCTGCGGTCAAAAACCCATTCCATCGAAGTGAATCGCTCATTTCGCTTTGAAAGATTAATCGATCTGAATGAACATCTCTTTAAAATAATAAACATGGCTCTATGTGTTTAAATGAGTATGTAACGTATGTCATCCTTGTGATCACAAGAACATTTTGGTTGAAGATGTCACTGCAGTCTATTTGATATCATCCCCCCAGAAGACCAACACATGGGCTGTAGTTCTAGCCGATGTTACACGTAGCACCTTTTGCTATGTGGGATTATAATAGGAAAATCTAATTGGCGACCAACACCAGAGATACTTCACACAGTGTCAATCGGAATTCCAGCTGATAACCATGTTTCCATTATAGAATCAAGTTATTTCTTAAATTAATCCAATGTCTTGGTGTCTTCCATTTTTCACGCTATACTGGTGCAGCTGTTGATCACCATCTTTGTAGGGAAATACTTCTTTGTGTCTGTCCTAAAATTACCCTTCACAACCGTGAACCTTTGCTCTCTTGTCCTGCTTTGTGCTTCACAGCTAGCAATTTGCTGGTGTTGACAGTTCTGTTACTGTGGGCTGACTGTCTGATGTTTGTGGACCTGCGCACATGTTTTCTGATGCAGGTTCCAGGATCCCTCACGTGGAAAAAAAATAAATGTGAGGCTGCTATTTTAATGCTGGTGGACAGATTGCAGAATATGGAGTCGAACTCGTCTATTATTATTTCTGGCAGGCAAAAGTCGCCACAAATGATAATCATAATCTTTTCATTTGATATAGCACCTTATCACATCTTCAAGACGTCTCAAAGCATTCACAGAATATACTGTAAAGTGAATTGACTGTATATTTTGTTGGTGAAACGTCTCAACCAAGGGGATGTTGCATTGTCAGAGGCACTGTCGTTTGAATGAGATGTTAAACCAAGTTCCTGTCTGCCTGTTCAGGTGGACATTAAAGATCTCATGGCAGTATTTGAAAAGAGAAGGGAGGTTCTCTGGATGTCCTGGCTAGCAATTCCTCCCATTAAAATTTGGTTATTCACACCATGACTGTTGGTATTTGTAGGCAAACAGTATTTGCTGTGTCCAAATTGGTTGCACATTCGCCTACAAATACACACAGCACTTTACAGTAATTCCTGTGAAGCTCCTTGAGATGTGATAGGCCACTAGTTCAAATGGAAGAATTATTATTATTAACATCAAACGGATGCTATAAGAGTGACGTATAGGAATAGGTTCTTGTCAGGTATTGGCAACTAACGGGCTTCGCAATACCTGATGGCAATTAAAGCAGAA